ATGTTATCGAGAATCATTTGATCATGTGTCTTTTTCGTACGTTTCGGGGTTGACGGGTAGCAAACTTGGGTCATGGTGTGTGACATGACTTTCTTGAAATTTCACGAAAAATATTCAATCATCTCCTTTTTTTCTAAACACGTGTCAGATATTTGACGGGCAAAGTACAAAATCTATCACTGTACACCGTAACGCGACCGGTAATTCTAGTTTCCGTTCATTTCAAGTTGCCCGAGTGTTGAAAATGCGTTGTCTTTGAATATTATGAGCACATACTAACTGATCAATATGTTTCGTACTTTTGTTAACATTCAGCTATCTATGGTAAGTTTTTTCGATACAAAAGCAGTGCAGACGATGTATTGTGAGGCGAAATCCTCTTTTCTAGATAAAAAACGAAAAAACATGAAAATTTTTCTTTTGTAAAAACTCCGCGTGGAAAAGCCAACAACAAATTTCAAGCGAAACCATTCGCGGGGATACACGGCGCTTTATAAAAAAAAGTTGGAACTCGGGGGGGAGGGGGTGCAATTAAAGAATTACAGCTGCATCTGGTAGTAAAATCGAATTAAGAGCACCAGCCGTTGTTGCGGCAATTAGCGAATGAAAAAAAGGGGTTTCCCGAAACCCCGTGGCTGCGATGTTCCGTGGGTTCGTATTGAGAATGAGGAAAACTACCTCGTGGACTTGAAAACTCGTCAGGTGGATAATGAAGGCGCAATTAAAGGAAGCGCAAATTAAACGAGCTTCAAAGTACCTCGCAGCATATAGGATAGAGGTTCATATAGTATAAGACGATACTTCGATGTATGAATCGAAAAAAAAAAAAAAAAAAATCAAGAGTAGCAAGGGTTGTAGTACACACAGAAGCGTAAAACCGGACATGCGAAATGACGTCATAAAGAAACCCTTTCCCTCTCATTTCTTCGCGTGCATGTGTCGCGTGATCGCGTAGCACACAGCGAAAAAACGAATATGCGTCTTATCTTTTCTTTTTTTTCTCTCGAGGTATAAATCGAAGACATAAGGTGTAATAGCAGGATGAGTTTATTCCTCGGGGATCTATATAATTTCAAAGTCCATCATACGCGGAATGCGAGGATGTAATGGTTTTTCGATGAAGTTAATATGAACGTACTCATCCAGTTAACGTGTACATTGATTATTTATTTTTACGTTGTACGGATGGTTTATTGTGTAAGTGTTGTTGTAAAACGAGTACTTAACAAATCCCTTGATGAAGACGAGAAATTATTCCACGCTAATGAATTGATTCGTTATTTATTCGTTCAGAAGTAGTATTTTTTGCTTCAAACTTTTTTTGGTAAGCTCGTATTTTATAATTCCAAAGCTGAGTCAAATTCCACCTTGGTTTGATGCACACCTTGACATAAAATAAATTTTTGAGAGTCTAACGTACTAATAGATGTATTTCTTCCGAATGTACGTAGCAAAAATTAATTTTCGTGCCAAGAATCAAATCCGATGTTATTTGGGAAAAAAAGATCAATCAAAGTGCAAGTGGTTTTCCGCTGGAAAATCGCTGTAATGAAGAATTCAAGGATACTTGGATCGGCCTATCAAATCATTATAAATCAATAGCCCAACAGCTTAACGATCCAAATCACGTGAGGCCATTCATTCGGCACTCGGGGAATCCTTAAATCGCCCATACCCGCAATTTTCCACTCAAGTACTTACAGGACGAAAAAAAAAAAAGGATCTCTTGATTATTGAAGCTAGTTTTCGCTCCGAAGCGATTGACGTCGCACGCACCCAATAACACGGAGTCTCTGTTGAAATAATTCCAGTCCGTGCCTGGGAGCCGATTTAAAAAAGGAAACGATCTCGATCAGTGAACAATAACAGCCAATGGCACGAGTAAGGGAAAACATGAGAAAAAGGCACCGATTCAGGGGCGACGCGATTGAAAAACAAAGAAGGTGTAATGGTCAGAATGCACGTGCAATTACGCGAATACCGAGCATCAGAGCAGGTGTGGAGAGGTCAGTTTACCATGTGGTTCTTGAAAATATTAAAAAATGTATATAGATTATAGAATTCGCAAATATCAACTTTGGTTTACTGTACCTTATGTAAGACCCTCATCCGAAAATTAAAAACAAATTTGACCAAAATTCAAGGAATCATCACCCGTAATTATTGTTCACGAGATAATTTTTTTATTTTACAAATCTCACGTTTAAGCTTTTCATCATTTTTGATTCATCATATAGTACAATGTATGACGTAAAAAAAAAAAAAATTACTTACGAATTCGTTAAAAAAAAAACTTCATTTTCATCTTACCCAGAACGACGCGCGTAACATTATCATCATTTTTCGCAGAACCGCTCGTACACGCGAAGGAGCGATCGAAGAGAAAAGTCAAGGAATTCAAGTACACGCAAAACGGCGATGAATAAGGACGAATGGATAGCGAGAAAGAGCACATACCTGAGTGCACGTACACGCGTGTACTTACAATGCACCGACAACGAAAGATGGCGATAGAGCACTGCATCAAGTCGCGTATATACATATATCGTGTAAACCATACCTGCATAATCTCCATCCGTACATGCACGCACACACACGTTATAAGCTCACGCGTGTTGGTGCATTTATGCACTTCCGTTCACCCGAGGCTGCTGCCGGTATATGCAGTCCTGGAGCCGAGAACATTCAGGCCGTTCGAGTGTACGGGGGACGCTTGAATTGGAGCACGGGGCCTCTGTATATTTTTTTCTTCTTCCTTTGCTCTGCCTCGTCTTTGCTTTTCATCGTTTTTCTCCCCCACCCCCCGTACACACTTTTTGTTTTTCCTCCTCCTCCACCTCGTTTTCCCTTGTTTTTTTTTTCCCTCGAGCACTCCACCCAATCCTTTAGGTTCGTCCTGTTTGAACATGCCCACGTACCTCTACCCCCACGGCACGTGCAGCGTAGTGGATGCTCACTCGGAGGGAAAGGAAATAGGGGTTCGGGGTGGGCTTCGATTTATACGTGCGGCTTCGTGTGATGTGGCGCGTGTGGCTTTTGACGAGGGGGGGCAAGAGCTTTGAGGGATCCGTTCGTTAGCCCGGGGGGTGTACTTTTTAATTATGCAAGGGATGGGGCTAGGGGCTTTTAATTACTTTTTGCATTTCCTCACTCCGTGTTTACTGGTGTACGTCGCTTGTCCAGCTTTCCCTGATGTATCGTGTGTGTGTGTGTGTGTGGGGGGGTTGCAATGAGTTGTGCCCACGCGTTTGCTGCAATTAACGGGAGAATGAGGATCAGAGTTTGATGATGTTGCGAAACGATGTTACGGAGGATGCGTTGGATTTTTGATTTGGCTCTGAAACGGGATGAAGAGGCAGAGTTTGCTTTGGACTGGACGAAGAGTTGCTTCTATTCGTTAGCTCAGTTGGGTGTATTGTTTTCGGACAATTGTTTCGAGTGCAATGGATATTTTAATGATGAGAAGCCGAGGACGAGTGGGATCATAATATTAGTCTATCTTCATGTCAAGGTACAATCTCGGCTAACAGAGTTGGTTTTGATCTCAACTAGTTGGATATCTATACATGCATTCCTATCTTGCTCGTTTGTACGGGTTTCTTATCACATTTGCTCGTCGGCACGTTTACTGTTTTACTCGGGTGTTTATCTCTTTTTCTCGCCCTTTGTCATCTTACTTAAACTGTTTCCTTCAACTTCAATCCTACAATTATAGTCCGATAATATGCTACCGTGGTAACGTTTATTCCGTCTTAAATGATATTACTTTTCGATACGCTTATCAAAAAACAACCATCACCTTATTATTTCATAAATATCCATCTATACAACTTTATGCTCTTACCATGTACCACAATTACTTTTTATTATAGTTCGTTGTATGAGAGCACGACCTGTACATGTCTTTTTTACGTATGGTTCGTACAGCTGAGGTATTTTAATGTTAGGACCCATTATTAACTAATACAGGATAATAATCAAATGTTCATTTGATAAGTAGACAAATAAAACAATAATAACTATGATTGTTTTTAAAAGCTAACGTAGAATACATGAGTATTTTAGCTACGCGCTGTGATAGTTTTCCTATTATCCAACGTGTCAAGAGTCGTTTACTCAAGAATCAAATATCGGTACTAAACCGTTGATGCGCTCACAAGAGTTATGAACTATTGTAATTTGTGATCGACGAAACTTTTATTTTATCATCATCATGTAGAAGTAACTATTCAAAGCCGAGTTCAAAGCTACAAAAATGTGATCGACCATTAATTCCTGACAATTTTAATGCACTCGTCAGTGCTGACTCGAGGCAGTCGATCGTCAAATCCGCGCAGTCACGCATTGCGAACTTCAACCTCTGTACCTCAATGCCACGGCAATATTAAAACCCATTCATCTTCTATGTCCGTAAAAAAATCATTTTCTTCCTTTCAAACACGTACTTTGTATTCAGTAGATCATGACTCATAAAGTTCAACAGAGACGCCACTCGTGATGTACAATTTGACGAACGTCAAAAACATCACTATCACACGCAACACACCGTACAACACAATCTTATCTTATTGGTAGCCTGTAAAACCCTACCCTAATCTTATCCATTTTTTTCCTCTTGTATGAGATTTCCACATCCAACCCTCGACTTCAAACGCCCCAGGGTCGCTTCGCCCGGTATAACATTCAATAATCGCGCAAGATCAAGCCAACCGGAAAACCGAGTGGCACTCATTCCACCTCCGTCATTTCATTCCAGGAAAACTCATCCCACCGCCAACCGAACACCAAAGAAAGCACAGGAGAGGATCGAGCACAGCATCAAGATGCCGCTGGGGGCGACTTCATCTTGAGCCACGTACGCCCCATGGCCTCGGGCACAATCCCGCCTTCCCATCTGACCAAGAGTACCGCGCTTCGGCGATGCCCCCTCGTCGCCATCGAGGCACAACCACGGCCGACGACCACCACTAAGAGTGGCTGGCCTCAGAGAGCGCAGGGTCATGAGGCACTGGCAGCCCCTGCTCCTGCTGCTGCTTAGTGGCCTCGTATGTCTCAGCCGGGCCTACCTGGCCGTGCTTTCTTCCAACTTGCCGGCCGGCACCGTCGTCTTCGAGGCTGGGGTGCCCTACCTCGGGGGAAAGCGGAAGTATGCCGCGTCTCAGGACAGGACGGCCTGGTTCGCGCTCAAGCTGCTCAAGGTGCATCCGCACACCGGGCGCGTCACGCTCGCCAAGAGCCTTAGCTGCGATGGCCTTCAGTATCCAAGGTTTGTCTTGTTTTTTTTTTTTTTTTTTTTTTTTTTTATTAGAATGTAAAGTCATTGAGTTGACATGGTTCAAAAAAGTGATGTGGGTATGAATCCTTGAAATACTTAGATTGTAGAAATTGAGGCCAAACGTCAAAATCAAAGTGGAATGTTGTACCGACTACATTGGAGTATGAAAAAAATATAAATACGGAAACCAAATAGTTTTGTCTCATTGTTTTTGATCATCGAAAGAAGTTTCACTTCAATTTTCCTTTTTTCTCATTAAATTTGTAACTAAATTAAAACGGATAACATAAAATTAACTCACGTAGTAAAGTAATCATATAAGTTTTCGAAATACTCGGTCATTAATTAAATGACTCAAATATCTAGATCAAAGTCGTCTACGTGCGATGGAAATATTTTCCAAGCGGCATACTCCGAACATTCACAGAGCCATAATTCATTTACGTCCTTGTGATTATAATAGTACCCTGCAACAAATCACTCTCTCGGAGAAGCACTGCAACTCCCATACAATGATGCCCCCAACGATTAAAGCACCCATTAAAATCACGAAAAATATCCACTCCACACCACCTCCACGAAAAATCAACCAACAACTGAGTAAGTGGCACCTCCTCCTTCTTCTTCTTTGAATAATCGATAGCCACCCGATATATCCCAGGAGAGAAAAATGCCCGTCTCTCTTACTCTCCCAACAATCCGCAACTCCCTGATTGCAGCGCGTGTGCGTAAGCGTTGACATTACCGCTAGACCGTACATCTCTCGTGGTGCTCTAAATTACACGTTGCGTGGCTTGACTTCCGCCTGCAGGCTGTTCACGTTCTACATCGACTCGACGAGCTCGAGGCTGGGCCGAGCTACCATCGACTACTACAGCCTGCCCCTGCGGGTCCTCGTCACTGGCTGCGGTGGTGAAAACGTCGACTTGGCCGCCACCAAGGGCTGGATGGCCGAGACCCTTGCCTCCTACGCCATGCCCAGCACCGACCAGTTCACCGAGGTATGCCTCAGGACGTCCCAATTGGTGGCCGCGCTCAGAGATTTCCTGCCTCACACGGCCTCCAAGCAATGCGAGACCAGATGGGGTACGTTTGTCATTACAAGTGCAATTAAGTTATAGAATAGATGCGTTTGTTTATCCCGTTTCAGCAAAAGTATTGTTCTCTAGTCGATTTCATTTACCGATTAATACGTACATTTTATTACAATGCACTGAATAATTACATGAGGCATAAAACTCTGACTTTAATGTGAAATCCATTGATTTATAGGCCACTGTTTATGTCTAAAAATAATCCTTACGATACGCTGGATGAGGTATAAAATAGAATGTCGTATAAAACATTAAATAGCCTTTTCTTCATGTCAACTCTTAATGATTCGTATCCGTTAATTTTTTTCGAAAAATCTAGTTTTATTCAAGGGGTAAGCTCTTGAAGATGGATCTCAAATGTAAATTATAGTCTCGACAATGAAAAAATTGTGGAAGCGCTGAGTCGCGGTAGAAGCCTAATCACGAGAATAATTCTTACTCGTTAAGTAGTATAGGTAACAGACAGTTAGACGCGTGTGATTAACGCCGACGTGATTCTCAACTGATTTAATAGGAATTTAGCGGTACACACCCGTTCCGTGTTCTATTCACCTTCGCTCTAAATAACAGGATAAAACGTTAATTGTAATTTTTATCAGCTCATCAAGATAACTTATCACGTAATTGAAAATTTACCTGACTCAGTCGCCCATCTTTAGAATTAATTACTGTTGGATTGATTCATAGTGCCATTTCAAGGTCTAAACATAATTGACTCTTGATGTTCAACTAAACAATATTTATTTTAAAAACTTTTCATAATTTTTGTACTGTACAGTTATTGAGTAACTTACAATTATCAATCAGCTTATTTTAATAGCTTGTAGGCAAAAGCAAAGTCCCTGCAACAGATGGGACAACAATAAAGTAAATCTTTATTTTATATTGACAGGTGGAGTCGCAGACCCGCGTTTTTTAATCGAAGGCGCAGCTGGTGACTTGGTCTCGGCCTCGGAACAGTGTCTAGTCGATCCCCTGTGGAAGATCTCCGTCTCGATGACGTTGCGTTGTGGCACAACTCACTTGGCCGATGCTGAACATCGACTGAAAATCGTTTTTCATCACCAGCAACTCGATGACACGGACCTCGGCCGTAGAGTAAGACGAGAACTACGAAATCAGTCTCCTTACTTCGAGCAAGCATTGTATGTGGAGGCTGCAGAAGAAGAAAAGGATCCGGGCATACCCGTTGTCACCGTCAAGGCTCGAGATCCCGAAGGTGGAAGCGTAAGGTAAGGAGAGGTATTTTACATACAAAGTGCTGATGTCGATTTGCCTTACACGATAATTTTCGTCCCAGATATACAATGAGCTCGCTATTGGATGCTCGTTCGCAAAGTTTATTCAGTCTCGATCCGACAAGTGGCAAAGTAACAACAACGGCACGTCTTGATCGCGAGAATGTCGATGTTCATTACTTCCGCGTACTTGCTGTTGACGACTCATTCCCCCCGCGAACTGGGACTACCACTTTGCAAATCAACGTTCGTGATGCTAATGATCATTCACCCAATTTCGAATCACCTGAATATGAAGCCTCAGTACACGAGAGTGTACCTGTCGGTACGAGCGTTATCTCCATCAAAGCAACAGATCAAGATATCGGTAAAAATGCTGAAGTAGAATATACGATCGTCTCGACGACAGGTGGTGGCACAACAACATTCGTAGAGGATCAGTCGACGTTTAGGTATGAACTTTGCTTGCAAATTTTTGTATTAATGATTAAGTAAGGTAAAAATTAAAGTTCATCATTTCATGATTTTAGAATCGATCCACGCTCAGGAATCGTGACGACTAGGACTTCTCTAGATCGGGAAAAAACCGAAGTTTACACGGTTATAATTCAGGCATCTGACCTTGCCAATCCACAAACTGAGCGTCGTACTGCTTCAGCCACTTTGGTAGTTCGCATTCTAGATGACAACGATAACTATCCACAGTTCTCTGAACGTACCTACGTCGTTAGTATACCCGAAGACTTCGATTACACGATAAATCCAGTGATAGCGGAGATTCGGGCTACTGACGTCGACGCAGGTTTGAATGCGGCTATTCGATATGGTATTATCGGTGGAAACACGCAGAATACTTTTCAAATAGATTCGCAAACTGGTGATGTTATGTTGGTAAAACCTCTGGATTACGAATCGGTAAAAAATTACAAGGTCATCGTAAGAGCGCAGGATGGCGGACAGCCTGCTAAATCTAATACCACACAATTGATCGTTAGAGTGAAAGATGTTAATGACAATGTACCACGGTATGCTCGGAAGAAAAAATACTATTAAAATTACAATTTACGTGATTGGCAAAATGTAATGTCCAATATGATTTTCAGATTTTATACAAACACATTTCAAGAGGCTGTATCCGAAAACGTTGCTATAGGTTATTCGATCTTGAAAGTTCAAGCGTACGATGCTGACGAGGGTCCGAACTCCCAGATAAAATACTCGATCGGCTCGCGAGATTTAAGTGGCGGTTCTACCGAGAACATTCCCATAGCAGTTAATTACGAAACTGGCTGGATATTCACGATCAAGCAGCTGGATCGCGAGCAGTGCTCCAAGTATCAATTCGTTGTGGTGGCAAGTGACTCGGGCGAACCGGCTCGATCGGCGAGTGCTACGGTCATTCTCACCGTGACAGATGTCAACGATAACGATCCGTACTTCGATCCGAAAAGTTACGAGGTTGTCGTTGCAGAGGACGACTCGCCTGGTACCGCCGTCACTACCGTCACTGCCACGGATCCCGACGAGGACGCTAAGATTCATTACGAGATAACGTCAGGCAACAACAGAGGTTTGTTCGACTCTGTTAATTTTCTGCTCTTTTAATTATGTCTTTGTCATGTCCTTTGCACTTAATTAGTGTAATACTTTTATTTTGGTATATAACTATTTCGAAATACTTACAGGCCGTTTTTCTATTACATCTCAAAACGGTCGAGGACTCATTACGGTAGCTCAACCGCTTGACTATAAACAAGAAAAACGATTCGTCCTTACCGTTACGGCATCAGATTCCGGTGGTCGAAGTGATACAGCACTCGTATACGTAAACGTTTCGGATGCTAATAATTATGCACCAGTATTCGAAAATGCACCGTACTCGGTATCGGTCTTTGAAGACGCTCCTGTGGGGACAACCGTTTTAGTCGTCAGTGCCATGGATTCTGATGTTGGTCAGAATGCTCAGATCACCTATAGTCTTGGCAGTGATGATGATGCGTCACAAAATCGTGATTCATCTGAATTTACCATAAACCCGCAAACTGGAGCTATCACGACAACCAAGTTGTTAGACCGTGAACTGATGTCTGGATACTTGTTGACAGTCACGGCTAAGGATGGTGGAGTACCACCATTGAGTGATACAACGGATGTGGAGATATCTGTCACAGATGTCAATGACAATGCACCAACTTTTAATACAGTTCAGTACCATGGAGCTATCAGAGAGGACGTTCTTATTGGCACGAGTGTAGTAAAAGTTACTGCTACTGACAAAGATGATGGACTTAATGGAAGAGTAAGCAAGAATAACTGTTATTTCAATGTTATAGATAATGTGTGTTAGGCACCTAATAGTTTTTTAAAGTAAAAGGAATTAACGGTATTTTTTGTACTTTAGGTTAAATACATATTAGACAATGATGGTGATGGTTCGTTCGCTATAGATCCTGCCACAGGCATGATAAGAACTTCCAAAGCTCTCGATCGAGAATCTACGGCTCGATACATTCTCAAAGCAGTTGCTGTTGATCGAGGTTCACCAGCATTATCGACCACTGTTGCGGTCGTTGTCAAACTAGAGGATGTAAATGATTCGCCACCAGCGTTTGAGAAGGAAAAAATTATTTTGTATATTCCTGAAAATTCACCAATCGGTTCTACAGTTGGCGAAATTTATGCCCACGATCCGGATGAAGGACCCAATGCCATTGTACAGTATTCTATTATAGGAGGAGAAGATGCAAATAGTTTTCAGTTAAATGTTAGACCAGGGGCTGACAGAGCAGAGGTAATTTCTCTTCTAGAATTAGATTATGAATCAACGAAGAAAAAGTTTGAGTTAGTAATCAGAGCTACATCACCACCACTGCGATCAGACGCTGTAGTCCAGGTAAATTCTTGGAAGATGTAAAAGTTGTCAGCAATTTGTTTCATATTTATATTAAGGTAATAAATGAATTTTGTTTTTCAGATTCTCGTAACTGATGTTAACGATAATGCACCAAAGTTAGAAGATTTTCAAATAATATTTAATAATTTTAAAGAATTTTTCCCAACGACTTCTATTGGTCGTATTCCTGCCTTCGATGCCGACGTAACTGATAAACTCACTTACACAATATTGTCTGGCAACAACGCCAATTTAATAAATCTCAATAGAACTACGGGAGAAATCACATTATCTCCACAACTTAATACAAACGTGCCTCGAGTAGCCACTATAGATGTATCCGTGACAGATGGTATCAACGAAGTGAAAGCTACCATGACACTTTCAGTAAGACTGATCACTGATAAAATGCTGTTTAATTCTATAACCGTAAGACTCGATGAAATGACTGTCGAGGCTTTCTTAAGCCCACTCTTAGGATATTTTTTGGACGGTCTAGCTGCCATTATCCCTTGTCCCAGAGAGAATATATTCATATTCAGTATTCAAGAAGATACGGACGTGCACAATAAAATTTTAAACGTAAGTTTTTCTGCGAAAAGAGTTGAACCTGGGGCCACTGATGAATTTTATAGCTCTCAATTTTTGCAAGAACGCGTTTACCTCAATCGCGGAATCCTCGCACGCCTAGCTAACGTAAAAGTCTTGCCTTTCGATGACAATCTCTGTGTAAGCGAACCATGTTTAAATTTTGAAGAGTGTATTACAGTTTTGAAGTTTGGAAATGCATCTGGATTCGCTAATAGTAATACTGTTCTGTTTCGACCAATTTATCCAGTTACAACATTTACATGTCAGTGCGGTAAAGGGTTCACTGGAAGCAAAGAAGCATATTTATGTGATACCGAAGTAAATTTGTGTTATTCGAATCCTTGTAAAAATGGGGGTACTTGTAGAAGGCGTGAAAGTGGTTATACTTGTGAGTGTCCAGTAAAATACGTAGGTGACAATTGTGAAATATCACTTGAGAAGGATTTGTGTATGCCAAATTTGTGTAAAAGTGGTTCACAGTGTGTTACTAAAGTTAAAGGTGGCTTCTTTTGTGATGATTGCCCAGTAATACCTTTAGATAATGTAACGCCTTTGTGTGAACTAAAATCTCGAAGTTTTGCACCAGCATCATTTTTAACATTTCCTTCCTTAAAACAACGACATAGACTTCATCTTAAAATAAGATTTGCCACTGAAGCCACAGATGGTCTCTTATTGTACAATGGAAGGTATAACGAAAAGCATGATTTCATTGCGCTAGAGATCATAGATTCTCAAGTGCAGTTTAGTTTTTCTTTGGGTGACGAGATAACAAGAGCAACTGCACAAATTCCTGGTGGAGTTTCAGATGGCAGATGGCACGAAGTGCAAGTATCTTACGTCAATAGATCAGTTGTGGTGGCACTTGATAATTGTGATGTTTCACTTGCATTGAGATTTGGCGATAGACTTGGTGATAGATGGTCATGTGCAGGTAGAAACGAACAAATTCTTGAAGCTCGTTGTAGCGACATCACGGAAACTTGCCATCGTTTTCTTGATCTTACCGGACCGCTACAATTGGGTGGCTTACCTTCAATACCTTCAAACTTTCAAGTGCGTAACAAGGATTTTGTAGGGTGCATCAGCGATTTTCACGTAGATCACATATTTGTGGATCTTAATTCCTTTGTAGCAGATAATGGAACAACTTCTGGCTGTCCCGAAAAAAGATCTTTTTGCGAATCTAATCCATGTTATAATGATGGTAAATGCAGAGAAGTTTGGGCAAGTTACGTATGCGAATGTATGGAGGGTTTCTCTGGGCCTCAATGTGAAGACGAAGTCTTCAAACCCTGGCGCTTTCGAGGCGATGGAATACTTAGTTTTAATCCCTTATTAAAACCAATTCAGTTACCTTGGCTGACGGGGTTCAGTTTAAGAACAAGAGATCAAAATGCATTCATAATGACTATCCAAATTGGACAAAACAGTTCAATTTTATTCGAATTGATAGGTGGAAAACTTGCAGTATTATTAGATGGCGCTGATGTAATTAAATCTTGGGTGGACGTAGCTGATGGTGAATGGCATAGAGTAGAAGTACGTTGGCAAAGTGGTCAAGTTTTGTTAGATTTAGATTATAGAAATAGACCATTAGTACAAATACTTCCGGCTAAATTACAAGGACTTTACGTAGGAAGAACACTAATCGGTGGCCCAGATAAATCGTTTATTACCGAGTTACCATCTTTCAATGGATGTCTGCAGGTTTGTATTTCTTGAAATTTTTTAATTGTTCACAGCTTACTTAAATAAAAATATTTTAATCATTGTAGGATGTGAGAATAGGATCAAATCAAACATCACTTGAAAAACCGAATATCGAAGAAAATGTTGGATTCGGTTGTGATAGCGATAATATTTGTCGTGCTAACTGCGTTGATTTTGCAACATGTGCAACGAAATGGGAACTTAGCGAATGCGTTTGTTTGGAAGGTCGAGTAGGTCAAAATTGTGAAAAAATCTGTGACATTAACCCCTGTAGTGAATCTGGAACGTGTGTCGAAACGTACGAAAATCACAAGGGTTACGAATGCCAATGCAAATTTCCTGAGTACTCTGGAGAATATTGTGAAATCAAAGGTAGGATGATAAAGCAAAATATTTATTTAATTTAATGTAATGAATTTTAAGTGCCTCATTTGCATAAAATACTGCCCAGTACTATAAAATGGTATCATTTGCTCGTCTAAGGATTTTTGCTGTTAATTTTTGCTATCAATTTATAACGTTGCCACATTGATTATTGTCATTTCTTTTATTCAGTAGAAGTATACTAATTAAACAAATATTATTTTTTATTATCAATAAAAGTGGATCAGCCATGCCCAGCAACTTGGTGGGGCTCACCAGTATGCGGTCCTTGCCATTGTGATGAATCGCGTGGCTATGATCCTGCATGTAACAAAACGACAGGGGAGTGTTACTGCAAAGAAAACCATTATCAACCACCGGGGCAGAAAGAATGCATACCTTGTGATTGCTATGCCACAGGTAGTTTTGGTCCACGATGTGACGCTCTAACTGGACAATGTAGATGCAGAAATGGTGTTATTGGACGACAATGCACTGCCTGCCCTAATTCTTATGCCGAGGTAACATTAAAAGGTTGTGAAGTTGTGTACGATGGCTGTCCAAGGTAAATTATAAAACTGTCATACAAAATTGTTTCTATTTCTTTACTGATACATCAGTTTTTTAAATATTCTTTTTAAATTTCAGATCGTTTGCGGAGGGATTGTGGTGGTCACGAACAAAATTTGATCAAACTGCTATTGAAGATTGTCCAGGAACTGCGGAGGGTAAAGCATCGAGATCTTGTTCCGACAAGTTAGGTGGTTGGCAAGAACCAGATTTGTTCAATTGTACTTCCGAGTCATTTATAGAGCTCCGCTACCAACTTGCTGCATTAGAAACAAATGATCTTGCTCTTAATACCTACAATGCAATCAAAATGGCCTTAGAACTTTATAAAGCAGTAAATATTACCAAAACATTGTATGGGGCAGATCTTCTGGTTGCAGAATCACTTTTAACTGCTTTGCTAAAGTACGAAGAAAGCCTGGCTGGGCTAAATTTGACGCATAGTCAAGACAAAGATTATGTTCCGCAATTGGTCAGTATTGCAGGGGCGATTCTGCAGAAAAGATACTTGGATAATTGGGTAAGAATCGAATCATTAACAGGAGATAGCTCTGATAAAGTCATGCTAACCATGGCAGAGTACCTCAAAACTTTGGCTGTGTCTCAACATGATACGTTTACCACTCCTTTCGAAATGGTTGATTCGAATGTTGGTAAGTAATTTCGCTCTTAAAATTAATAACCCACATTCGTTTGTTAAACAATTTCGTAAACGCATAATTTTTTCTTTACCTATTCATAGTTTTGGGTTTGGATATCGTTACGTCTGAAAGTTTATTCGGCTATGAAGCAGTGGAATATAAAGAAGATGTTTCGCTTTCAACTGCCCGACCGTTGGAAGCAGATCAAAAAGTTATACTGCCAGATACATCTGCCTTTTTTGTTTCACCTATTCACATGGGACCTTCAATAAGTTTTCCAAAGTACAACAATTACATGCCTGATCCAAGCAAGTTTGATCAATTTTCAAAAATACAAGTGCCTCTAACTTTATTGGGTATCAAATCTGTTATCCATGGTGATCTTAATGTCAAAAACAGTTTAAGTAATCGTAAGGCCGTGTTAAGTTATGTACAATACAGAGAACTTAGTTCTCTCTTGCCCAAAAGGTATTTTTACGATTAGTCTTACAACTATCCGTTGCGTCTATCAATTTTTCAAGTTAAACGTTATCAATCTAACGAAATTGTTTTTCAGATTCGATGAATCTGTCACCGTTAGATGGGGAATCGAGGTTGCAATCGGATCACCTATTATAACAGTATCCGTCCTAGTGCCATCCGAAAATGGATATGAAACTCTAACAGGAGTACCTCTTGAGTCTCCTGTAAGGATTCAGATATGGCTTAGTGAAAATGATGGTTCTAAAACTCGAATTAATCCACAATGTGTACATTGGAGCACTGCCAGAGGGTAATCAACATTAAGTTTAGTAAAACCAGAAAAAAAATTTCGTTTGTTTATGAGTAATACCAAATTTCTTAATTTTTAGCATTGGAGAATGGAGCAGATTAGGATGTACCACAGAGATTGAAGATGAAACCGAGCCACTTGGTTTGACTGTCAACTGCTCGTGCATAAAACTGTCTACATTTGCTGTTTTAACTGACGTTTTAGATCTCGAGTACGTGCCTGAGCCATCATTTCTCGAAGACGTAACCAGCTACACGGCCTTCATCATTGCGTTACCACTTCTATTCATAACAGTCCTCATTTTAGCCTTAATTAGAGGTGGTGGTACCAATTCCAATAGCATTCACAAGAATCTTGTACTTTGCGTATTTTGTTCGGAGTTGTTGTATTTGGTAGCTCTGAAAGCACGAAGCACCCTCATAGGCAACGAATTTCCCTGCAAGCTCATAGCAATTGGCTTGCATTATTCTTGGTTGAGTACATTCGCTTGGACCATGGTGGATTCATTGCATTTGTACAGAATGTTAACAGAGATGAGAGACATTAACCACGGCCAAATGGGTTTCTACTACACGCTTGGATACGCTGTGCCAGCTATCATTGTGGGATTAACCATCGGTGTAAGGGCAGACCAATATGGAAATTTCTATTTGTAAGTAACATTTCTGATGCGATTGTCTGTTACAAAGGCAAAATGAATCGAGTAATGATATAACTATTGAATTTTAGCTGTTGGCTGTCGATATACGAAAATGTGATATGGTCTCTTATCGGACCTGTTTGCTTAGCCTTCTGCATCAACTTCTTTACTTTGATAATGTCAGTGCGTGCTGCCTTCACGCTCAAAGAGCACATAATGGGTTTTGGCAACCTTCGTACCCTACTCTGGCTCTCGATATCCTCCTTGCCCCTATTGGGTGCCACCTGGACTTTAGCAGTGTTAGGCGCTTCCGAGAACTCATCAACCCTCTCGTACATGCTCAGTGTAGCAATCGTTGTGCATGCAACCTTTAGCCTCGTTGGTTATTGTTTCATCAACGGAAGAGTCAGGAGAAACTTGTACTTGAGCTTGTTGAGGTGTATCGGTAAAAAGGCTCCCCTTCTCGATGCCAGTGTTGCCAATGGGAGTAGTAGCCAGAACGTCAATGCCAATATCACAGTAAGTCGAAGCCCTTTAGTTTTAATTTCATATAACTTGTTGCGTTGAAATCAATACTTAAGAGTTCTGTGGTAATAACGATGATAATGTGTTCTCAGAAACGGTCCGGGATTGCATACTCGTCGACGTATAATGGGACCGACGCAAACTCCAAAAGAGTCCACGTTGGAGTGTCGACGAGTAGTGAAACGTCCCGTAGCACAAACAAGACGAGTTCCAGTCCTTATCGAAGCGACACACAACTCCGAAACACGTCTACCTCAACAAGTAACTACAATAGCGATCGTGGAGCTTACATGTCCCGGCGAACCAATCCCCCGACGAGGCACATGCGGCATGGTATTACACTATGAAATGTTTTTTTCATTTTACGAAAAATCCATGAGATTTCTCCGAAAGTATACGATTTTCCATTATGGTAATACAGAGATCAAGCCGGAACGTGAACACCAGCGTCGAGAATCCGAGTCGGACTCGGATGCAGATAGCCGAGGACGTGCTTTAGACAGCTCGCACAGTTCGGATGAAGAAGATGCGAGAATGCGCAACAATGCCAAGCCAAACTTGAAGACGCACAAAACGACGGGTGTTACCACGCAATTACAGCCACAGCTTCCCCATACGTACTTGCCCAACATATCCGATAATCCACCTGAGGCACTTAATGTTCTTCATTGCTCGAGCACCGACCTTTTCCCGAACATTAAGCCCATTTATGCACCTCGCTGGAGCTCTCAGTTACCCGAGGCCTACCTACCCTCGGCTAACAGTAAGTAAATCGGACAATAAGTTCTTTAAAAAATGTCATCCACATTGTGCTTCTCAGCTGTTTTTAATTTTTTTCGTTAGAAGGAATTAATAATTAATTTTACTACATTTGTACAGTCTTGTTGGATCAAAGTTTATTAATTTGTTTACGTTTTTTAAATAATCAATATAATCAGAAAATCATCATCTAGTTATTTTTATAAATCATAAAAATGAACGCTGGGAATAACAAATAAAATACACTTACTGAATATTTTAGATGTGTGCGCCATTTTTTGAAGTCGATCCATCACAACTTGTTCTCAATTTCTTATATGATTTGAAAAATGATAAACATCTGAATTATTCAGAAAACTAATAATTCAAGTACTGAAAAATTTACCACACCAAATAACAACAGCCAAATTTTGGACGTTATAGTAGATGCACGAGGGAGTCAATGGTCGGGTGGTACGATGTCGGACAACGAGCTGGCCTCGACAAAGACCGCAAGTCCGAACCCACTGACCTACGTCGAGCTGAACCTACACCATCCAAAGCTCCATCCAGATGAGAATTACTCGGAAACTGACGAGAAACTCAACATAGCGGATAAATATTTGTTTGGGGATGAACCGATACACAAGCCAATGTCACCCACGCCCTATATATTGTCAACACCCTCGCGGATACTTAGTTCGAGTCTCAGTCACCACTCGCAGACATCGAACCACGATAATTATGGCAATGGCTACGACAGGTACGGGAGTCTGAAAAGGGGCCAGGCACTGCACAAAATGAATCACGACAATATTAGCTACACTGACAGGTACGTCGCAATATTGTTTACTTTTCTGATCCGAATGGTTGTTAGGGTGCTTGGGAGGTTCAGCATACTCGTATATGCTTTAGTCGTAATCATAAAAAAAAAAAATATATAAAAAAAGTGTATTCTTTCTTTCCAGGTATGGAAGTTTGAAACGAGGTGGTAGCCTACACAGCTCGTACCACGACAACTTGAATACCGGTCTGGAGAGGTATGGTAGTCTAAAGCGTGGCAAGATAACTCCAACGATGCTCGAGGACACGCCGGACTATATAATGCCGATCAATAGCAGGATATTGTCGGGATCCCTGGGCCACGATCTGCAGCAACATAACAACGAGTTCGCGGCCCTCAGACAGCTGCAGATCCAGCAGCAGATGCAATACGAGCAAACCATTGCAGAAACAGAGTGAGTGGTCTTTTGTGGGAATATTTTGATTTGTTGCTATGATTGACACCGCATGCCTTTAAAACTAACTTAAAATTCAGCAATTCCTTTACCGCAGACATTTAAAAAATTGGAAAAGTGGTGAATTCTCTGTTTATTGAGGTCACAGAAGGGATGGGTCTCATATAGTTAATAAAACATTAAATCTCCCTCATTAATAAGTTCTTAGTTTTGGAAAAATAATCCAAAATCATTCATTATCCTAATTTCCATTAATACTGGTGAAGGTTCATGCATTAATTTTTTCTTTTTCATAACGCTTGACTTGGATTATAAATCGACTTAATCAGCGAAGAGGTAAGCCTAACATGTATAATTACTTGGTGTTTTTGTGTTTGTAGTTGTATACCTACACTTCGAAAAAATATTTTACATTACTCAAAAAACAAAAAAAAACCTTTTTTCTTCGCATGCATGTCGGAACCGAAACGTCTTGTTAGTAAAATTACCATGTATATATTATACTAGCTTTAATTTGGTTTAGTTGACATCAAGATATCTTTCCAAAAAATGTACTAGGGTACATCATCATGTAAAATTTTTTGTAATAAAATAGTTTAGTAGCACTGTAAGGGCTGAGACGAAAAACATATATTAAAACATTGAGGCAGAGTTATATGGCTAATGTTAATAATAATATAGAGTTTTAATCAGTTTGCAATACACAATTCTGAAATGAAATTTTTCTGTTCCAGGAAGGGTACCAGTAACGCAGAAACGACCGTATGACAATCTTACTCACAATATAAACAATATAATACGTCAAACAAGAAGAAACAAAGCAAAATTAGTCGTACAAACTTTACAGAGTTAAATATTTTAGGCTCATCTGATCAGCCATTTTATACAGGCAATTAAAGACAAGAAAAAAAATAGTTAACGTTAGATAATAATATAAAGTGAAAATAGTATCTTAAGAGCTGGCCATGACCGTATATCTGAAAAAAAACGAGCAACTCTAGCCATATAATAAATTAATGCGCGAGTATGTGTGAGTGCCTGTTAATATTGTGTTTGTGTTGTTTAAATACTTTGGACTACATGAAAGTATATTTATGGAAAGTTTGTAATATTTTGTTAATTTAAACGGAATACGCAGGACTTGAAAAGTCTCACAGTCAGTTCGATGACAGAAAGGACAAAAAAAACATCGAACCATCTTTTAGACTTCGACCCTGTACTATATGATCTCTTTGTATACTTTTTCACTCACATCTTTGTTTTCTTCACTGATCATGTATTTATACAACTTTCCACTTGTACATCGTTATTTATGATTAATATAATTACTTTAATATTTAGTGATTGTGCAAATTACGCATTCCAATCGTTTTTGCGTCTTAATCCCACACATTGTTTAGGATTATATTGCTGAACTTTGCATTTTTTATAGTACATGCCGAGAAAAATGTATTAAATAAGATTATACATATATTTATATGAATAGAGAAAAAAGCGTTCTATATGTAATATTGTACTTTAATACCTGAATCTTTTGTATATATTTATATATAGAGATAAAAAGAAATGATCGAAATACAAATAATTTATATATCCTATTGTAGTATCGTAGTTTTATTTTATTTCTCTCAGTGTGATTTACCTCTGTACATATTACAAAAAATACTTGCATCAAACAAGTCTGTGCCATTGGATAAAAATTACGACTTATGTTTTCGATTCTTATCTAAAAATACAAATGACGAACTACACTTAATTGATTACAAATCGATCGAGAAATTTTTTTTATTTTTTTATTTTTTTTATTTTTTTATTTTTTTATTTTTGTGGAATAAATTTACGTTCATGCATACATATACAGCCCGTTTCAACGCCAGCAGCGATAAAATTTTTACACGATGACCAAAGAATTTTCAGTTCTTCTTCTACTTTGTAGCCAAAAGAGCATGGAACGTCCAGCGTTCAAACGGAGCAAATGTACTGAATAAAATTATTATGTAGTACTTTGCGTGAAGTGAATTAGATACGATTTAATCATCCATAAGAACATAATTAGTTGACATATAAACTGAAATGTTTTTTATGTCTAAATTATCAGAAAGAGAGCTTAAATATACTGTGTAATAACTGTACTTAAAAAATACTCAATTCCTTAACTTTCTACTTAAAGAATCAATTGTGGCTTGAAAAAAAATATCTTTATTTGTATATGAGAATCCTTAACACTATGCGAATATAATCACTTAATGTCCTTCTTAGTTGTATAGTTGTTACACTGATACTATACAAATACAGGTATTATTATCGTTTGAAAATTCTTTGGTAATTAAAATAACCAGTTAGGGGTAGCTGCCAAAAATTTGTGATAGAATTTCTAAATATCTCAACTGTACATTGTTTTTGAATTTATAAAAAAATAATATGTTCTAAAAAAAAAGGAAAAAAAATATTTTAGCGAATAAAACTTACAACAATATTATTCCCCTCATTTTCTACTATACTTAAACATTTTTTGTTCAAAAGTGACTAGATAAACGCAAAAAAATTTATTTTACGTTTCAATTATAGCTGCTATTTTCTCAACTTTACAATAATCTTTTAGTATTTCATGTCACTTTTTAAATGCAACATCAAAAGTTACACGTGCAAACTTTTAAAATGTAGTCAATATTTCTTGATGCTTATAAATTTTGTTTTCTTACCGCATACGATTTTATTACAAAGCTACGCCAAAAAAGCTACTAATAGATACATAAAATTGGTATTCTTCACTTTTTACGTAACCTCGTTTATTTTGTCACTTAATTACTAGTACGTAGAGCTTCTTTTACAAAAAACTTTAAAATCATAGGAGAGTTTCATATTTATTTTGTGCTTTTATAAATAATTTAAAAATATATTCAAAACGTAGTTGAATTTTTTAAACAAAAATTGTTGACAAGTCTTCATTTTTGTAAATATTCCTGCAAAACAAATTCTTTATTCAACGTGAGTGTATATTTTATACAATAGTATGCTATCAATTATTTATAAAAACTCCGTTCGTCATCTCTTCTCACACGATTTCAGATTTCCCTGACTCTGTCATACGAATACATAAAAAAATTCCGTACTAGGATATTACGAATTGATAATTGCTCTTCAAATATTGCCCTCAACATCCGAGGAAATGGAGAGCGTCTGCAGCTTTGGTACAGAATAATTGTCATTGTGGTTTCGCTCATTTCCAGTGGAACTGTGGCTTCGATTGGTAATTCGTTCCAAAGTGGATGGCGCAGATGGAGTATCCTGATGAGCTTTCGGTGGAATTGGCGGTGGGCTTACCTGAAAAAAATCATCATATTTCCTTATGAAATATATTAATACAGTCCAACTACAACAAAAAGATAAAAAAGTTGGCATACCTCTTGGCTTAAGATCATACTAGAATTTTGGAACGTAATGTTGGAGATGCTAACTGAAGATACATTCATTGTGCTAACGCTGATCGCCGTAGGCGGTGAAATGTTCATGATATCGCTACAGCGTATACGTGGTTCGAAATCTTCATAGCTGAGGTTGTTGAGATTTGTCAAGTGCGACTGAAAATCTGAGAGACTGGACAAAGTTGAGATCCCGCTGTCACGTAAGTCATGCGAGTTGTGGTTGCTATTGACATGTCCATCTTCCTCTGCACTCCAGTCGGTGTTGCGCTTATGTGAAAGACGCTTTGGTGGTGCTGGTGGGGCCATGAGACCCGAGTTGATATCCCTTTTGTCAGGTGCTGAAATATCAATCATTTATTTAGACACATGTTCAATCCTGAATTAGTTTTTTTTATTAATTTCTTAACTTACTACAACCTCTTGGAGGTAGAGGTGGTGCCGGTTCTGATCCAGGTTCACTCCAGGAACTTCTCATATTTGTGGGCTCGGTACCATCGGTCGTAGGAGTTGATAGTGAGTTACGCAAGGGTAGCTTGGGACTCAGAGGTTTGCTAAGTGATCGTTGATGCGTTGGCCGTGGAGGAGTAGTTCCATAACCCACTGATCTGGGTCGCACCTCCCGTTGTGGTATTGGCGGTGGGGGGCCTCCATTAGTAATATTGTTATTGTTGTTGGTACAGCCATCAAGTTTGGTATAAAAACCTTCGTCGTCCAAGTGACCATCACTGTCAGCTCGAGACATTCGTGATCCTGGCATGGATTCTAAGCTAGACGGGCGTTGTTTATCATTGACCGGTAGAGGGGGTAATGGTGAACTGTAATAGAATATAAACAATTTTAAGTGGACTTTCAATACTTAAACACGAAACAAAGGTATTATATGTAACATACTTGATGATGCTATCCTGATGTACCAGACGTTGCCTAGTTAGTGGTCCAAGGCTTTGTTTCAGTTGAGTGAATCTTTCTATGAGACGCTTGTGAAGTGGCTGAACCCCAGGCGGAGCAATCTGACCGTGAAGTAACAGGCCAGCCTCTACCACGCTCATTTGATCAATTATGAGATTTTTAAGACGATTGACGTGGGGTACCATTTCCGGGTTCAGACGTGCAAACTCTGCCGTTAAAAATGCTTCTTGATACTTAGTTATACCACCCATGACGTTTGCATCGATTATACCTTGCAACCGCATGCTGAACGGATTAATGTTACGATGTGGTTCAGCAGTGTACTGTAAATAAGGATATTTATCATCTAAAATTAACAAAAAAAAACTTGTTATTATAATCCGTTGTGAGCTTTGGTACCTGAGCAACTAGTCTTCTTAATTCACGTTCGACACTTTGCATCGTTTCGCAAGCATACTGTACTGGAGCCAAAAGTTCCGAGCGCTTTTCTACGACCTCGAACCACCTCAATATTCCAGGTAATTTAGCTTCAGTCGTAAGCATCGTCCTCTCAATCCATAGCGACTTAAATTCATTTTCACGATCCACCTGGCCTCGGTGTAAGGGACGGTCGAATATGAAACGCCGTACGTCATTTACAAGGTAATAAGCGACAACGCGTTCTGGAATTTCAAACTGGCTACAACCCAAGCTGCCCTCGTCAGGAATCGGTTTTACGTTGCAGATTTGGATGTCTAAAAAAGATTTATCAATTGTCAATCGGAAGTAGATATTGGAATATGATTTGGGAACCGTACGATGACTTACATTGACCCTCTGATGATAGAATCGTTTCATCAGGTGGCGAGTTCTTTGTTAAAATTTGGGCACTTGGGAATTCTGTTTGAAGTCGTTGAGTGAATGCCCCAATGCGTTCGTATTCCAAACCTCGATAAATAAACAGCTTGTTCTGGATAAAAATATTTTTTTTACGAATATAGACGTCACACTTGTAAGTAATATACGTATGATATATTAATCCGAATATTTGACGTTAAATGTAATAATTTTAAGTCATGTGATAGGAAATAAGTCTCATTCGTAACAATGATTTACTATTACTTACCCTTACAAAAAGTGGAAAACTCAATCCGTAAAACCCGACTCTAAAGTACTCGGGCTCGGGCCTAAGTTGAGTCAAAATATTATCAAGAAACTTTGCCTGAGTCTTCAGAAGCTCGCTTAATTTTGCATAATCGTAGAGCCTCGTCTCGTAGAGCCCAGCCAATTCCTTGCACAATGGTATACCTTTTTCCCAGCACTTTCCACGATCGAAATAGTGAATGATCTTATGGTACAGTAACTCCTTGCGTTGCCACTCGGGTTGTTGCGGATAATTGAGATCAGCCGCTAAAATAACCGAACTCCAGCCCAGTTGATCTGCGTAGAGTTTCATTGTGAACCCGGCCTCGGTGTAGTTTTCAGCGGCGAGATGCAGATCGTGAAGCTTATAGATGTAGCGAAGGTACATCTCTTTGCGATTGAATTCATTTTTGTAGAAATTCTGAAGTACATGCCAAGTAGTCATTACGTTTTTTTACTTACTTTTATTCAATAGTTGTTATTATTATGCGCAGGATGAATAAAAGTGATCAAGAACTTATAAGTATATCGATAAGTTGTTTTTAACTAAATTATTTTTTAGGCTGCTACACGTACTTCCAATTAAAAAGGTAAAAAACGTCCTTAAATCTAATTAATTTGCTTCTAATACGTAGTAGAAATTATCGAGCGTTAAAAAAAAAAAAAAGTACATCCTCTATTGCGATCTAATCACCAAATTGACGCACATTCTAACATTTTAATTTTAGACACCTCTGATCAACCCACGACCCCCGAAACAAGAATTGTTAATAATACATTACATTGTTATCGTTCTCGAGACTGAAAAATTTGTGCTTGTAGTAATTTTGTAGAAAAATCAGTACAACACCAAAATCCTTATCCGTACAGTCACCGTCTTCCGTCTTCTTTTTGGACTTTTGCGTCTTCGAGCTATTTTCGCGCTTTTTTCCAACACGAAGGCACAGATTGTCCATCGCAAACTGATACCTCGAATCCGTCGCGATCAAGCTCGTGCGGAAATTCCATACACACGCGGTATGAGGACGATAACGAAATTAAGTCAAATTATCACGAGTCTTCTATAGCCATCGCTAAACAACGTTTATTTCCATTCGTACCCAAGAGAGACATCCGCATGAATCGATATGTTGGCACAACACGTGGCCAGAGAATGACAGTTCTTACCAGCAAATTAACGGTGCATGACATGCGCTTGTCGCGGTTCTCGTCGCCTTGAATGACGCTCCGGTAGTCGAGCAATCGTTCCAGAAGCCGCGTCACGGAAGTGATGAAAGCGGTGCCGCTGTCCTTCCACGTTGGGTCCTCCGACTGCACGCGATCCAGCAATCTGTCAAACAGATTGTATTGTACGGTGTACAGGGATGAAATTTGTGTATCAGAAGCTAGGCTTTTATTGAATTAGTTAGCCGACGTATCGGTGGAATTCTATTTTCTAATATTGTCCAGACAATCTTAAGGGCATGGATTGCTATCAGAACGACACTACATTGCAACATTCTTTTTTCGGTTGAGTAAACTTGTAGAAAAAAAAAAAAATCAAACGGGAGAGAAGGAACAAAAATTGATACAGTGAGATACAAAAAAAAAATCTAATGAGACATCCACATCTAATGATTAAACTATAATGTGCATATAATTTCTATGACAGTAGTGGAAACATTTTTATTGACTCAATGACACAATGAATCTACAAAATCAAGTTTCATAACTGCAAGTCCAAAATAATACACACCCTTCGAAAGGAATACTACTTCTAAATGTGTTTTTTAAAGCTCGTACTAGTATAGGAGAATCATAAAATACAGACACAAAAAATTGAATGCACTTAAAACTTTTGTAATGATTTGAGACTTACACCGCACTGAGATGTTCCCTACAAGAGCATGAAAAATTGAAGAACAGATTTTAGTAAGCAATAACAAAAGAGTTTGAAGCTTTGAATTAGAGTCATGCTAAATCATTAAATATTCAAATATTTTTTATTTCAATCGTCCCGTTTTTAACACAGTCAAACCAACGTAATGTCAAACTACATTTTTTAACAATCATCTTATTTTATTGGTTAAATAACTCAAGATAATCGATATTTCAATTGTCAAACACCACAATCAAGCTTTAATGATTTAGCAATAGTAGACCATTACTTAAATAATTAGAAAAAAAAAAATCTTCAGTCTTCAACACTTACATGGTATTAAATAGCTGTCTGTACTCGTCATCCCCCTTATTCTCGCTAATAAGAATGTCCAGTTTGTCGATCAACTCCGACTCGACAGACTTGAAGCTACCTCGCGCTCGTTGTTCGCACTCCATCATGTCGAAAAAAATGTGAAGCGTTGCCTTTCGTAGCTCGTTTTCTGGTACCAGAGTCACTTCTAGGAAAGGACCCACCATACCCGGGATAAATTCAAGCTTCCTCTCGCCCAAATGGGACCACATGGATAGAATTTGAAAGCCCATGAGCACTCGCATGTCACCGTACTTCTCGACGATCTTTTCTCGTTTGACTTCGGAAAACTGCTCCAATTGTAGTGACGGCTGCGTCAAATACGCGACCGCTAGATTAAAGTACGTCGACCACAATTGAGAATCGAAACTTCCATGCAAAAATCTGAAATAATTACAGTTATTTGTACAAAATGGCACTATTATAACCATGAAAAGCCTCACAGCGTACAATACGTATTTTAAAAATCTCGTGCAGTGCAAAATGTTACCTAAAAGCCAGCGGTTGCGCAAGTTCTTGTAGAGACTTTAGCATAATATTGTTGGCTTGCATGCTCATGACCAGCCAATCAGGTGGAAAGATCTCCTGCCTGACTAATTCTCTGAGCACCAGAAACACCCTCAGCAAAAAGTCTTTCAAGGGTTTTCTCTCGCCACCAGGCGTCAATTCCTCCCACAGCCTCGCGTAATGATATTCATCCAATAATTGCAGCAGACCCATCAGACAAGCTACCAGACAATTGAGCACCGAACCGCCAGCGTTGATGATTATGAGAATCGTTTGGATGAGAACATCGAGCACAGTCAGACAAATCGTCTCGACGTCGTGGTGCACGCAATTGTTCACCTTGACGTCTTTGCCCCTTTTGTGCATGAAGCTCAATATTTCACCGAGTATTTCGGTGCACATCCGCAATTCCTCGCGTCTCGCCAAGTGAATCCTGAGGTGTCGACAGATCGTCGCCAAAAGTATGCTTCTGCTCTCGTCGTCCTTGAAGAGCTCCGACATCACCAAGCTTTTGATCGCTTCGAGCTTGGCTTGCATCAACTGCAAGGTCGATCGATCAGACGAGTAGTTTTACGCATCCTTACCCTAATTGCACGTACCTGTGGCGCGGCATCCCTAGGTATGGACTCCAACATGGAGCAAGTGAGGGTGGTGACCTCCGTGGTCGACAGCACGTCTATCAGCTGCTCAAACACCGCAGGTATCGAGTGCATCACCGCCACTTGAAGCGAAAGCACCATCTCGTAGGGCAGGGACATCATTTTGTTAAAGCCAACAAAGACCATGTAGATGTCCTTCCGGAAACTGTCCTCGAACTGTCCAGCGGTGGCCCGAGCGTAGAGCAATCTACTCTGAATGATGAACTTGAATATGTACTCGAGCGAGCGGAAGCACTTCATGATGAACTCTTGCTTCTCGACTGCCGTGACCCACTCGGTGCAGTGCTGCACGCTGCTGACCAAGCCCTTGTAGACCAGAGCTGCGGCAAAGTGGCCGGAGATGTACGCGTGTATCACCGGCTTGAAGTGCTCGAACTTTGAGTCCTCGAGTAGATTGAATATCGACACGAGTACCTATATACAAAGGACGGTTGGGTAATGTTTGCCCCATCTGTCATTTCATACGATGTGTTTACCTGGAAAACAATGCCCGAGTGCGCGGTGGAATTTCCATCCTCCGAATGGAACATGGCAAACAGGGCGTCCAAAATGTCCTGGAGGAACTTGACGAGCTCCTCGCCGTCGAGTCGTAAAACGCGACTGAGAGCCTCCGAGATTTTTTCCGGGTGCGTCTTCCATTGCAGTAGACTCAGGAGGTCGACGTTTTGTGTTAGCTTCGTGCTGCAGAGCAACGTCTGAATGAACACGGCTTCTTTTGGCGAACGGGTGAACGGTCCGATGCCTGTAATCAAAGAAGATACCGATACTCTTTTATCGTCATGTGACAACTTTGTACCGCGTATCACGAGTTTCTGCCAAATCGACTGGACAGAGGGACGTTGTCTTGGAAAAAATTGGCTGTCGTAAGAACGCAGATTACCATTTGGTCAACAACTTTCAAGATGGAGGACCAAATTATTTAAATTCATTAACACAAGCCGTTTGACGTTTCAAAAGAGTTTTTATTATACTTCGTGACAAGCCTTTTTTGTTTTTTAAAAGATTTCGTACTGTTTTTTCAACCTTTTCAATACTTCGTGTGCTGCAAGGGCTGTTATAGTTCCATTAAAAATAGATGCTATACACACGGACGTAAGCTAAGTTGCACTTCAAAAGATTTTAGCAAAATAGTAATCCAAGTAAACAAAAAATAAAATAAAATAAATAAATTCGAAACACAACTCCCTTACCCGGATAGTTTGGCTCGCGCGCATTGCTCGGCAAGGCAAGATAGCTGAGTGACTCCAGTTTCGCACGTTCCTCGCATTTGTAAACGTAGAGCTCGTGCAGGCCGTCTTGAAGGGTCGCGCCCCCGGCTTCCATTAGCCGTACGAAAGCGAACGCCAAGAGCTTCTTGTCGTTCTTCTCCCGAGCTGAGGGCAAGGCAAGAGACAAACAAGTACGTGTAAGTACATACACTCGGGCGCACACTCGGGAGTCATACAACTGGGACATTCCTTTTGTTACTTCTACCCGTAAAGTCAACGTTCGTTTGAAGTAACACTTCAAAGCGGAAGCATGACTTTTTTTTTTTTAATCATTACTCGAATAAATGTTTGTAAAAACAAATACCCCAACTTCAACACATACTCATACCAATAAACAGTTTTATTTTAACATTGTAGAAAATATATAGTTAAAACATTTTTTTTTTTTTTGAAATCACACAACTAGTACGGTGAACTGGACCGTATGCACTTACTGGAGCAGTGCCTAAACTCGAAGCGAACGTGGCTCCCGTAGAACTTGTCGATGGGCACGGCCAGCCGGAGATTCTCAGCCCAGGAGGGACTGTTGTGATGGTAAATGATCAGACTCTGATACTCCGAAGTCCCGTCCGCCCCGGCTGCTCCGAACAGGCAGTCCTCGAGCTGTTGGCCCTCGGCGTCCAGCACCAGTACGGTCACCTATACGTCACACACCAGTATTTTGTGACTCCATACTCACTCAATGACTCTATTTACGATGAACGTATGGTATTATACATATATATATATACATATATACCTCGATGTTCTTCCCCGTGGATTTTCCGCCGCGTTCAAACTCGCCGCGTTCGAGCTTGAGGTACAGATCGTTGCGCACATCGCCGGGCATGATGACGTCCGAGAAGCCGAGCTTCTTGGTCAGGCAGATGTTTTTAAAGAGCAGGGGGTTCTCGTCGCGCACCTGGCACAGTTCGCCGTGCAAAACGCGGAACGACACCACGATCCCGTAGTTGGGCTGCCCAGGCAGCGGGGAGCACTTGTTGTTCCGTATGATTTGCTCGTGCAGCTGGTGAAATTCCTTCTCGTCCCCTTGATAAACCTGCGGTTAGACGCGAGACGAGGGTTTTCAGGGTTACCTCCTTACTTTATTCACCGTGTCTTATTTTTTAACATTAGCAAATAGTTTATTTTTTGTTTGTTTGAACCGTTTATTTTTTTTTTTACCGTGTCCTAATTAAATCAATTTATTCTTGTGTATACATACGGGTGGTGGCCATTAATTTTGCGCAGCGTATCCTCCTTATTATACGAAATTTCGAACGAGTTACGGGGGGGGGGATTCCAAGAAATAATTAAAGATATCGCGCGTGTGCGAGCCCCCAAAGCCCTCTCGCAGCGCCCAAGATGTAATCTGTTCCGCAGTTACGGACTGCCTCCGCCACCCTCTCGTGGTTAACGTGAGTTTGCTCATTACGATGAAACTTTTTCCTTTTTTTTTTCATCAAACTTCGCATTCGAACAAGTACAGCGGAGTTACCGCTACTCCAAGTGAAACTGTCTGTGCGTGTCTCAACGCCGAGTGTGTCTAGTTTCTAAGTAAATGTAAACACGCGAGCTAATAGTATCTCGAGTTATTTTACAGGATGTTGCAAAACTTTAATGACTAAGTTTGTCAGAGATTTAATTGTATATTATTCGTGAAATAGTTCCCATATAATCTTTTTGTACAAGTTTTTTTTTTACATGTACGTTTTAAAGAATTTCAATGGTTACTGCATTAATCATTGTATTTGCACCCATGAATAAAACACTAATTGTTAGTTTTCAATAAGTGTAATTTGTAAATTATTAACATGGAAGTTATTTCATTTCGAGGCATATTTTCGATTGAGATTTTTGACCGGTGACGTTTTCTGCCGAAGGTTTTGCTAAAGGTAACGTTTTTCGTTCGGAAGAAAGCAAAAAGGGTGATGTTTTTTATTGGAGATGACTAAAAAGTAACATCAAAAAGTGAAGGGATGTTGTTGAATCGAGACCTGGGCATCATCTCCAAAAGCCCTTCAACTCAAAATAATGAAAGTAGAGGGACTCGGGGCGCACCTTGAAGGTAAGTTCAAGCTCGTCGGTCTGCTCTTGGGTGGCATCGGCCAGCGAAAGGACCCCAACGCCGTGCGGCCTCCTGTAGACCACAGTGCCCGCCTTGTTTTTCCCCGAATCCGAGTACAGCATCCTGCCGCACCTCATGACGTGCGCCACCATGTACAGATCCCGCGTGAGATCCGCGTTCCCGAGATCCGTGAAAATCGTGCAATTGCTGTGCATCTTCTCGACGTAGTTGGAGAAACCCTCCTTGGATATTCGCACGAGGAAACGCTCGCTTATGTACTGGCCGCGTTTGACGTCGTACAGGGAGAAGTAGATCTCGGCGTCCTCGCCGACCGAGTGGCCAAAGTCGCGCATGCAGAAGTACAGGTGGTGCGTGAGGACCTTTCGGTGTTCCTTGCGACGTAAGGTGCCCCGAGCCGAGGCGCCTTGGGAATTTTCAGCGCTTTGGACGTGCTGCAAATGGTTGGTAATGGATAGGGGGTAAAGATGCGTTCAATGAGTTTATTAATAATGGAGCAAAGTGCACTTACCACGTGGTAGAGTTCGATCACGGACATGGAGTCGGGGTCCACCATGTGGGCACCTTGACGTGGTACCAAGTCAAGGCCCAGTTTTCTGTAACAAAAATTTGGGGGTTTTTTAAGTATTTCATTTGAAAAAACTATTTTTACATAATCGAATTTTGGTGATATTATCTTTCGGTTTGGACACATATTTTACAATAAATTATTTATCTATGAATGTTCGCTCATTTGTGCGTCTCAATATGCACAAGTAACGTATGTATACATATATGTAAGATAAAAATAAAGAGAGCATTTCAACATTGGTTTAAAATTGCGATAATATTGAACTATACCATCACATGTAGCAAAACATGATTTCCTTAAAACATGTACTTGATATCGAGAATAATGTTTAAAAATAACTAAAATATTGTTTGCCTCGGATTATCATTTAATGAAATTTAGCTATTACTTACAACTATGCATGAGAACTAGTCATATTCATCGATGATATATAATGCAATGAGTCGACTACCACGAACGTATTTATGCACATCCATATGTTGTACTGTTTTATGCGAATGAATACAATATAAAATTTTAAGTATAACCAAAATACTGTAGCAACATTCGTGCATAATCCGGACCAAAGGTTTCGAAATATGGTTAAATTTAGGCTTCATTCCAAACAAATTAAAACAAACGAGACGTAGAAGAGAATACTATTCAACGGCAAACACAGCCCCGACGATGGAATGAAAAAAAAAGATCCTCGCTTCTTTTTTGAAGGATCCGATCGCCTCCTACTGCTCCTATCACCCCGTGCATATACAATTAAGACGTAATCGAGGTACCGTGCGAGCTTTTTTCCTTTTTTTCATGCTATCCCTGCAGGATCCGCCGATCAGAGCCCTTTTACATACCCTCCCCCCCACCCTTCTGTTTTTTGGCGTGAGAGAGAAAAAATGACTAGTCAGTTTTTTTCCCTTCGACCGTAGCATGCGAAGGCCGGGGATCGCGTGCACGCGAAAGAGTCACGAAAATGCACAGGTAAGCGAGAGCGGAATAATAGTCGAGGGCGAGACGGGCGATTGAAAGCGGAGAGATGCCGAAAGGAGCGGAACGAGTGCTTGTTTTTTTAATTGGGTGCGCTGAAATTTATACATATATAATATCCACGTTGGTGCCAGACTTTTTACGGACACTATGGGTACACGCGAGAGTTTGAAAGGATTAAATGCAGTATTTTGAATAATTGTGTTGAATTTAATCACGTGTCGCACATTCGAAGGTTTTACGTCCCGATGGAGCCGAAAGGTTGGCTTGACATTGGCTTTGCTGGTGCAATGACGAAATAAATGCGTTTCTTTGCGACGAAATGAAAATGAACTGCTTTTTTTGCACGTTTTCTGTTGGAAAGGATTCAAAGTACTTTGAAACTGGCATTTGTCCATTTTGGGAGAGAAAAAAAATAATAGTAATCAATAAGTCCTTGTGCTCGCTGTTTCTTCTTTTACTTCTTTGTGATGTAACAATGCACTTGTTTTGGCATATTGAGTACAAGTGGACATTTGTTCTCTTATGTTTTGTAAAAACCTTAGGACAAAACTACAATGATTTAGTATTAATAATTTTGAGTAACTTTAACGAAAGTCGTAGATTTTTCAATCAAAGATACAAATTTTCGAGGATTTACGCGCAAAAAACCCTTTTCGTTAAAAATTCTCTGCTACAAGAGAAAATCCAAGTTTTTGTATTACTTGTTAAAACTTTTCTTGTACTATAGTACTATCAGGAAAGTCGTACTAAAGTTACTGGATACCTAAAAGTATGCACTTTATTAGCTCTAAGTGTAGGTCCAGACATTACTTCTGTTGGTTAAAAATATTCGAGTACAACGTCAGTTACATATTTTCGCGAGATGAAAAATTGTAGCAGGGACTTTTTAATAAAAAAAATACTTCCGTGTACACACATTTCAAAGATTCTCAAGCCATTTACATCGACCTAATTAAAATTATAAAATTTTAAATGTCATCTCGTACTCTCTAAATATTTCATACACGCAACTCCACTAATTGGGCTCTCGAAAAAAGGGAAAAAATCCAAATTCTTTTACGATCGGACGACCCGACCAAAAAACATCAGTGGGACGTAAACGACGCCATCCCGACAATTTCATGACCACCCAAAAACCCCGCATTATACATTCGGTGTACGGCCCATTTACGGAATAGCCCGAGAAAACCGAGAGCAAAGGACCTCTCTAATCTACCCAAAACTAAGGATAAATTTTCATCAGCCGAGACGATCTCTGCAGATAACATGATGTCCCATAAAGAGGGAGCGGAGACGGGTGACCGTGACATTCCCGCACGACAGGGATTTGTATACAGTCGCACGGCTGCAGCTCTTACGTTGAAAATTTCTCGACCATATGCCACTCGGGTGCTTTTTTTTTTTTTTTTTTCTCTCTCCACTGGCTATATATCTCTCGAGGCCATCCTCCCTCTCCATCGCTGGCTACCGTATTCCTCGAGGAATCCTCTTGACCTGGTCGGATTCTAGCTCTGGGGCTTCTACGTGTGGCCCCCGGCAAGTGAGACATTTCTTTCGGAGAACACTAGTCCAGCAGCCTGCAAGCCAAGGATCTTTCGGGTGATGGCTACGCCTTTGACGGCTCTATCGAGTTTTGAGTGTGGATCTCTTTGGACCAACCAACTGTATTAAACGAACAAAATATCGCTTCCAAAGGGTTTTTCCTTTTGTGCAGTACGAATTTAATGATGTACCCTCTTGTATAAGGACGTTATAAACGGCTCGTCCTTCGTAAAGGAACAAAAGATGTTACTTCTTCTTTAGAAGTAGGTACGATCGGATTTGTACTGCACTGCTATAGATCAGAGAGCTGCACGGCACGACAATTATATCACTCTGTCGAATAATAACACCTTTCCTTTGGGATCTTTTTTTCGGGGGGGGGGGGGGGGTGTTGACGAGGGTTTCCACGGCCATAATCAGCTTCTCATTTCGTTCGAAACTAATGATCCGGACAACGTATGCGAGCGTGGAAGAAAAGAGGCAGGCAAGACATCATTGCGGCTCTGTCGGCTATTGCGCATATATATGTACCAAAGAGGGAACAAAAGAAGGGAGAATGGAAGGCCCCGAACAAAGGGGGCACCCGCGCTCTCGAGAGGTGCATTTTTTCATCGAACAACAAGCCGCTTTCGTTGCGTATGGTTCTAAGAGGCCTAAGCTGGGCCTTACGAGCCGAAATGAGGGAGAAAGGGGTGGGGGGGGGGGAACAAAAAAGGAAGCATGACTCGCTATGTGGTGAAGGAGGGAGGGATCGATAGGATTTAAATGAACAAAGGATTGGATCACGCGGGGGTCTTGTGTCGTCGAGCTTTAACGAAATATTCGTTAAATGGGCTGCATGAAAAATGGAATAAAAAACAAACCGTAGGTTTTCCGCTTTAATTGGGGGAGGAAAAATCGCTGGATTGAATATAGATGGGGCTTTCGGGGCGAATCGTGGAATGAAAATGAAAACAATCCTGTGAAAAGCATCTGGACCTTTTAATTCAGTATTTCTATCAATCACTTATAGAAATAGAATTTCACAGTACCTACGTCGTTTATTTGCTAAAGTGTTTTTCACTGTTTCGTGAATTGTATTTTTCTCCGCTTGGCAACAGCTCCATTGGTACACGTACTTTTGGAGTTTTCAGAGTAAATTCGTTTTTGCATAGAAGGACGTTGTTGCCATAATGACACTAGCAATTATTAAAAAAAAAAGAAGAATCTCATCCCAAAAGTCTAAAAACAGCCGTGATTTTTATAATTACCATCAATAAAGTTTAACGTTAAGTGATGACGATGACATTTAAAAACGAATGAATTTGAAAAAGCCTGACATTAATGAGACCAGTTAGAGTCAATTCCAGCTAATAATCGATCATGTCACGATGGGTAACCAACGGGATTTTTTACTTCATTTTGGATGATTATTGACACGCGATTAGATAATGTCACATGTACATACCATAAACATTTTATCATCATCTCAACACCTGAATCACATACTGATATTCATAAACAAAAAAGAACAAATGGTATTTAAATGGTCAAAATATCCTCGAAATAGTTTCTCACCGGCAACACAAAGCCCTACACATACACACAATCTGTATACATAAAGGACCCGCAAAGTGACCAAAGAAGGAGTAAGTATAGAAGCACACCAGGTAAGCATAGAAGAAGGAGAAGAAGAAGTGCGAGAGGAAGATGAGCGCAGGGCAGGCACGCATCAGGAGAGTAGAGAGGCAAGAACAAAAGGTGCACGTGGGTCGGGGTCCAGCCGAGGGCGTATTCGATCCTGGAGCCCCCCCCCCATCGTCTTTTGGTCTCCTCCCCCCTCCCCCCCGAGCGCTTCCTTGGAATGCAGGTGAGCCCCTGACTGCGGCGACGTTGGCGACGACCGAGGAAAGAATTAAGAAAGCCTGGAGTACAGGAGAGGACTTTGGCGCACGGGGACAGGTTCAGGCAAATGTTCGTCGTCGTTCCCACTCCGTTCTCTTCCTTCTCGGCTCATATGCACGTGCGCATGTGTGTGGATAAACACACAGAGTCCAGCCTCCCGTGGCGAGGCCTATGATCCATCCCAAAGATATCGGATGCGTGTGCTTTTCTTCCTTTTCTCCTTCGCGTATCCTCTCTTTCTCTCAATCCTCCGTTGGCATACCGTACACGCACTTGAAGTGTACATAAAATATATGCGCGGTCGAGGCTTTTAAACGTGTGCGGTAGTCGATGGTCCGCCTCGACGTGTATTATACGTGTAGATCCGCGGTATTAAATGGTATATGTGGGTGTGATGGTGGCGAAGCCGAACATACGGAACCATCAGCGCGTGGGTGAAATTTTTTACTCCGAGTGCAGGTCCTTGGCGCCCGTGTGGCTTCTTCTTTGCCAGAGTTTTGATCGGGTTACTCCTCGGCTCTCGATTTATCTGCATTTCATGCGTGTATTATACCTGCATATTATGTGGTACTTGATGTGGATTTAACTAGCACCTTCCAAGTATAAGTGCCGTTGATTGCTTAT